TAATTAATTTACATTCATTCCCTAAGCATTGTCACAGCATACAAAATTTGATTTCCATCCAGAATATACTGTATAGTGGCTTAATCATACATGCTATCATCAATAATTTTCCATTTCTAGTTTCATATATATGTGTGTGTGTGTATATATATATACACACAGAAATAGGGTATATATATATATATATATATATTTCTGACCCTCTGCCCTTTTCCACCCCCTTCTTACATTATCTCTGGTGTCTACAGTTGTCTTCCATTCTTTTTTCCCTCACATTTGATTGATCACACAATTTCTTAAGTAATCTAACTACTTTCAATCTCAAGTTTCACTGGTAATTTCAAGAAAAGCAGTTTTAACTTTAACAAATCAAAGAAATGCTAAGGAACTTTGCTTAAAACTTAAAGCCAGGAAACAGGTTAGGATTCTATTCAAATAGTAAGTACATGAACCTACCGGCAGCTCGAGACAACAAAAATCCTTAAAACCAGAAAACAAAGTCTAGAAGAAAATCAGCAATGTTTTAGTCAAAAGTCATAAACTTCTATTTCACCAGCTCAGTCTCAAGTACTTAATCTATCTTCTGTTGTGGTTCAATCTTCCCAATTAAATTCTGGGATATAATATTCAACTCCAGACTTGTCCCTATGATTAAGTTGGCCATTTTCTTAGTTTTTGAACTCTTATTTCTGTGTGTCTATATTTAATTTTATGGGATAGCACCCCCTTGAGAATTTATTGGAGATTGTCTGGTGTTGGTAAATTCTTTCAGTTTTTTTTTATCTGAAAATGTTCTTATCTTTTCTTCCCATATGAAAGATAATCTTGCCAGGTACAGCATTCTTGGTTGAAATGGCTTCTACCTTAACACTTTGAATATATTTTTCCATTTTTACCTCACTTTGAACTGGATCTTTGAGTGCCTCTCTAGGTTTGGAAAGTTTTCTTGCAGGATTTCATGGAATAGATTATCAATGCCCTTATGAGTCTCTTCGCCTTCTGCGGTGCCAATTATCCAGATGTTTGGACGTTTGATGATATCTAGTATTTCTCATATATTATTCTCATTTGGGGGGGCAATTTTCTCAGTCTTTGTGGTGTATTTTTCTAAGCTAGCAATTTTCTCTTCTATGTCTGAGATTCGATTTTCTGTATGATCTTGTCTGCTTTTAATATTTTCAAGGGAGATTTTGATGTCCTGTATTATAGCCTTCATCTCTAACAGGCCCATTTGATTCTTTTTAAAGTGTGTAATTCCTCTTTTAGATCTTGCAAGAATTTGCTCACCTCCTGGAACTCATCAGCTCCTTTCTCCTGCCTCTTCCACAGTTCATTGTCTCTCTTCCCTTCCATCTCTGTTAGCTTCATCATTATGAATATTCTAAATTTTTTATCAGACATTCCCATGATTTCCATTGAAGAGGAGTTATTCTTTTCCCTTGGAGGAGAGATATGTTCTGCTTTCCCATATTTCTTTTTTTTTTTTTTTTTGGAGAGGTTTTTGCTATAGGGCTCATGCGCTTGCCAGACAGACAGAGAGAGACAGAGAGACAGAAAGCAAGAAATCACCCCTCAGGGGGAAAGGCCACGCTGCAATCCCTTCTCCTCCATTCTCCTCTTGGGATCTTGGGCACACATGCACCCGCGCATGGCATGAGTTTTAAGTCACCAAGCCCAGGACGCGAACTGCAGTCGACTACATGGGAGTCCAGTGACATAGCTATTACACTAACTGCTGGTCCCCTTTCCCATATTTCTTGAGGCCCTGCAGTGATAGTCATCTGATGGATGGTGTGTTTCTTCTTAATTATTGAAGTTCAATCTGAGTGTTCAGGAGCATGCAAAAGGAGATGATCAGAATCTCTTTGTCGTTCTATTTTTATCCCTTTGTGCAGCAGATTCACTGGATATTGAGGAATATGTTAACCCTAATAGTATTTGGAGGTTTGGCTATGGTTCCCTTAGATACATCTAGAAACACAGTGAATGGAGATTGAGGAGCAGAGTGATGAGATAAAAGAAAAAGAAAAAGAAAACAGAGAGAGAGGGAGAAAAGAAAGAAGCAGAGAGAAAAAGAAGAAAAAAACTAAAAACGACCAAAAGCAATTTAAAAAAAAAAAAGGCAAAAAATAAAGGCCTGCCCCTTGCCTCTCCACTTGAATTTGTGGGCTGGAGGCTGACTTTTCAGTAGAAAATCTTAATTTCTCTTTTCTCCCTGAAATCACTAGTTCTCAGGAGCTATGGAGGAGTCTTCTTCTGAAGGCCTGCTCTTTGCCTCTCCACTCGAGTTTGGGATCTGGAGGCTGAATTATCAGTGGAAAATCTTCATTTCTCTCTTTTCCCTGAAATCATTTGTTCTCAGGAGCCATGAAGGAGTCTTCTTCTCTGGTCTTGCATTTTAAACATCTTTTGGGACCTTTTTTTTTCTTCTTGAAGTACTTCTTTCAGAAATACTTTTAAGTAGGTCCAGCAGGTGACATGGTGGTTAAGGGCGCTGGACTCCCACATGACTGATCATGGTTCAAGTCTAGAACCTGACTATTTGCTTTCTTGCTTTCCCTCTCTCTGTCTGTTTCTCTCTCGTCAAATTAAAAATAGTAACAATGAAAAAAAGTTAAAATAATCCTTTAAAAAAAGAGATTCTTTGGGGCAAGGGTCTTTTTCTTTTAATAGATTCCATTTTTCTTTCACTGAAATGTCTTCATAATTAATCCTCATTCTTGAAAGACTGTTTTGTGAGCATACATTCTAGGTGGCTGGTGTTTTATCTCAGCACTTTGAAGGTCCTATTCCACATCTTCCAGATCCTGCTCTTGAAGTCAAGCATCAGTGTCAGTGTCATTTCTTTGATTGTAGTAAGTCTTTCATCTCTGGCTACTTTTAAAATCTTACTAAAATAAGATGAACCTGACAAGTCATGACTTTCATCAAATTATCAACCATTAACTATTTGAAAATTGTTTTTCTCACATTATCCCTATTATCTCCTTTTGCAAATGGTATCTATTATACTTTCTTACTCTGTGCTCCCTGTCACTTAATCTATCACACTTTCGAGACCTTTATATTGTCTAGTAGCTATTATCTCTTTGTATCTTATGTATACTGTTGCTTCTATAGATGAATTTTCCACTTCACTAGTTCTTACTTGAGCTTGAATTATCTACTTTTTAGGCCTCCTACCATGTTTTAAATTTTATATATTTCCTCCTCTTGAAGGTATGCTCTATGAACTTAAATATTTCTGTTTGTTCACAGCAGTGAACCCATTCACTAGGAAAGTGTCACATAGCAGGTGCTCAATGAATATTTACTGATAAAAAATTATACTTTGTATGACCAGAAATTCTGCCTTCATTTTCACCAGTTTGCTCAGTTTGGTGGCCTCTTCTTTACATTTTGTTTCCTTCTGTCATCTTGTTAAGCAATAACATCTCATTTTGTACATTATACCAAATAATTGCAAATTTGAATCTTTTACAATTCTAGACCGGTTTTATGTTGTGTCTGTTCTAAGAAGCTAGTTTCTCTGTGTGTGTTAAATGTGCTTGCATTTTATTGCTGAGAATTCTTTGAGGCCTGAAATGAAGAAAAAATCCTCCAAAGAGGATTTGTGTTGGTCTTGCTATGTGCCTGAGGTGCTGAAGTCCCCTTTATAATACAATCCTTAGTCTGTGTTTTTTTAGGACCTTGAACATAATATAAATTCAGCCAAATTCATGAAAGATTTTTAGGAGAAAATATATGATTTCTTTGATCTCATCCAGGACAGTGGGCAACATTGCTATTGGCTTCTGAGCAATGAGTTTTCTTTTTCTAATTCTCCCTTCACCTAAGAACACAGCCCTTCCAATGTCTAGTATTTATGGAAGGCGATCTCTAATTAACCTATGTCCTATCCGACCCACACAGTGCCTCTGATATATTCCTGTGTCCCAGATCTAGACCACCATATTTGATGGCTTCCACACATACCCAGGAAGCAGGCTGTGTTTACTGGATTAGTCTGCTAGACTGTCATAACCAGGTAGCACAGGCTAGAGCAGTTTACACAGCAGAAATGTATTTTCTCACAACTCTGGAGGCAGGAAGTCTGAGGTCAAGCCTCCTGCTGATTCCATTTCTGGTGAGAGCTCTCTTGCTGGCTTCTTGCTGTCCTCACAGTGACTTTTCTCAGAGCATGCATGGGGGTAGGAGACAGAGAGTGAGCTCCGCAGTGTCTTTCTCTAAGAAACTAATCATATCAGATCAGGGCCCCACCCTTACAAATTCATTTAGCCTTAATTACTTCTTCAAAAGCCCCATCTCTAAATACACCCACACTGGGAGTTAAGGCTTCCACATCAGAATTTTGGAATGGACGAACCCTGTAATGGTTAAGGTCCATTTGGCCAACTATGGTTTGATCCAAGCCCAAGCAGCTTAGAAAACACAATCCCAAGTGCACAGAGAAATAGAGGAGAAATTATTGTAGCATGACCATGTCCCATTTGGGGAGTGCCTTTTCTGTCCCTCTCTGTCTCCATCTCTCTGTCTCTCTCCAGAAAGTGTACATGTCCTCTGGCAATTAAAAAAAAGAGAGATGGGCTAGCCCCATAACTAAGTAGTTAAGGGAAGCTGGATCCCCTATAGCTGGCCAAGGTTTAAGTCCTGGCACCAGCAGCCTGAACAGCACACTGGCACCTGTGTGTGCATGCCCCAGACCCCAACAGGATAGAGAGATGGTGGAGAAGGGATTGTGGCATGACCACACATTACTGGGAGGTGTTTTTCCTCCTCTCTCTCTCTCTCTCTTCCTCTTTCTAGCAAGCATACACATCCTCTGGCAATTAAATACAAGTAAAATAAAAGAAGTTTTTAAAAAGTTTTGGGAAGAGGCAGACATTTAGTCCATAACTTTCACCTCCAGTTTTTCCTGTTCCTCTTTATTCCTAATCTCAGAAGACTTTCATTAGCTTCTTTAAAGGCTTATTTGATTATTTCAAAAAGATTTTGTTGTTGTTGAGTATTTTTAGATGTCATGAGACATGAATTTCAGAAGCTCTAGCTTTCCTTACTGCCAGAAAATCACATCTCTTCTCTATGTATAATTTTGCAGTAGGCAATTGTGTCCAATCTCATATACATGTTTCAAATAACACATAAAATTTATTTTTCCAGCCCCGTCTTTCCTCTTGAGATTGCGATCATAGCCAACTGCTGCTTTATCTCTTTACTTGGAAGATTGCAGGATATTTAAAACAATGTACTTCAATCAGAATTCATAGTTTTCCTATCAAATTTGTTCTTCCTCCAACTTTTGTTATCTCCATAAGTATCATGAAAACCATTCAATTGCTCAAACCAAAATACTTAGACATTGGGGTCAAGTGGTGGTGTCATAGTAACACAACTGGACCCACATGGAAACGGTCCTGGGTTCATGTCCTGGGAGCTCCCTGAGCACTCTGGGCACACGTGCCTGTGATTCACATTGGCTGATACACTATGAGACCCTGTTGGGGGTGCCTGTCTTGCTATCTCTCTCTCTCAATCTGTCACATGAAAGAAATGAGCTCTAAAAACGTACAATATATACTCTCATAACATCTCTGTCATCTCTACTAGAAGTTCATGCTCTCCACTTTATGTATATTTCAGAAGGCAGCGTTGTGAAGAATGAAGACACTGGGTTGTTTTTCATCCTAGATCTACTGTTGACTCCTTGAAGAAATGTTGTAATCTCTCTGATCCCAGATTTCCTGCAAAGGAAGTAAAAATATTTTCTATTACTAATATCAGAAGGCTTTTTAAGGATAACTATGAAGCTAAACATGTTTTGCAAAGTGAGAGACAATTAGAAGTATCATCATTCCGATGAGCATCATGATTAGTGGGGCACTGTTTGAATAGGAATTTGTTCTGAAGGGTGTTAAGAAGCATTAAAAGGTCACATGCAGGCCTTGGTTCAGTTCCCAGCCCAACCTAAACAGGCTGTGAGCAGTGGCACATGCTTGTGGTAATGGCTCACTTGGAGGCTGGGGCGGGATTGCAACATGGCAAAGCTCTGTCAAAAATCTTTCTAAAAGGGAACCGGCAGTTAGCGTAATGGCTATGTCGCTGGACTCCCACATAGTCCACCGCAGTTCACATCCCGGACCCAGTGGCTTAAAACTCACGCCGGCGCGTGTGCGTGCCTGACCAAGATCCCGAGAGGAGAATGGAGGAGAAGGGATTGCGGCATGACCATCTCCCCAGGGGGGTGATTTCTCGCTTTCTGTCTCTCTCTGTCTGTCTGGCGAGTGCACGCGCCCTATAGCGAGCGAGTGCACATGCCCTATAGCAAAAAAAAAAAAAAAAAAAAAAAAAAATTCTAAAAAAAAAAAAAAAAAAAAAAAAAAAAAAGCTTTGTTTGACTCAAAATTCTGGTGGCTGTAAAGACCAAAGGTATAGGGTTGGCATCAGGTCATCCTATGTTACAACAGTTACCAGGAGAGACAATGGAGAGTACATGCAGAGACCATGTCAGTTTTTTTCTCATTTCCTCTCTTTATAAAGCTACTAGAACTCACTCATGGGGGCCCCACCCTAACCACCCAATCACTAATCTCCTCCCGGACACCACCATTCAACACAATAACTGGATCAAGTTTTTACCTTCTTAATCCCATTAGAATGGCTCAATACATGAATTCTGGGGAGAAAGATTCACTATGCATTCATTCCTATCTCCAAGATTCAAGATCTTCTCACATACAAAATCATCTGAATAATCCAAAAACACTTAAATGGTTCCAGCACCAACTCAAAAGTCCAAAGTCTCTTTTGAGACGAAGGGAAACTCCTTCCACAAATTATGGGACCAGCAGATGGCATAATGATTACAGCGTTGAACTCCCACATAGTCAACTGTGGTTGGAGTCCTGGTCCTGGTGACTTAAAACTCATGCCAGACACGTGTCCATGCCTAAGATCCCAAGGGGAGAATGGAGAAGGGACTGTGGCGTGGCCATCCCCTCAAGGAGGTGATTTCTTACTTTGTGTGTGTCTCTCTCTCTGTCGCTCTGGTGAGCATATGTGCCTTATAGCAAAAAAAAAATCTTTCTAAAAAAAAAAAAATAGCCTGCTGGTCAAATAAATTCAGAAAAGATCAAGTTAAAGCAAATTTCTTGGGCCAATCCTGAGCACAATGGTTAGATGCTGCATGTAGGGAACCAGATCCCACAAGATGGCTTAAGAAACACAGTGGGTGTAAATGCAAGTGCGGCAAAACTCGGATGGGTTGCAGAGATAGGGGAAGGAGGATTGTGGCATGACCATACTCTATTGGGGAGTGCTCCCCCCACCCCTTGTGAGCGCACATGTTCTCTGACCAAAAGAAAAAAAAGTTTCTTTACCTCAGTAACTCTCAAAACCTATTCCAAAGTACATTAAAATTTTCTATTAGAGAATATCATATACAGCTTTTTCCAAATTTACCTGCGTAGGCAACTTTTTTTATCCACAGCATCTCACACCATGAGAGTTTGAGAAAAGATGAATTGGAGACTTCTATCTAAGTTAGCCAAGTCAAAATCACCTGTAAGATATGTGCGTTTTTACACCTAAACTGGAAAGATAAAAGGATTTGCCAGGCCTAGATGCGAGCAGATTGTAGCAATGTTTTCTAGTTTCAACGCTGTAGCATTTGCACTAGCTATCAGCGGAGAATGAGATGACAACGGCTCCTGCATTACATCACTCTTCTTGCAGGAAATATTACAATGCTTTTAAACTCTACTCTTACCCTTTCAGTCATAAAATTAAAATTTATGTCCTTTGGAGACCAGCAGATGGCATAATGGTTGTCACTGGACTCCCACATACTTGACTGCAGTTCGAGTCCTGGACCCGGCAGCTTTAAACTCACACCAGGCGAGTGTGCTGAGTGTGTGCCCAAGATCCTGAGAGGAGAATGAAAGAGAAGGGATTGCAACGTGGCCATCCCCCCCGGGGGTGATTTCTTACTTCCTGTTTCTCTGAGAAGTGCACGCACCCTGTAAAAAAAAACTCTTAAAAAAAAAAAAAAAAAAAAAAAAACCTTTATGTCCCTTCATGTTTTTCATCCTCACAATACTTGCCAGAAAACAGAGGAAGGTATCCCAAACATAACTCTCTAGTGATACTCTGCAATGTGAGTACCTGTGTGTCTACAGCAACAGGCACCAGCACATGTATGAGGGGACTTCAAAAAGTTCACGACAATATGCATATGAAAAAAACAGGCATATATTTCAAATAATTTTTTGCACCAACATAACCTCTGTACTTTAATTCCACTTTTTATGAATTTCTTAAGTCACCATTGTATGCAAATATATTCTTACTATGAATGACAAATCAACGTTTGTAAACCACAAAATACCATGTCTTTGCTATTAAGGAGGTCTTCATCAAGCTGTGATTTACAGAATTCCTTATTTTGCTCACTAACAACTGAAGAAATAAAGCCTAACTACCTTGTTTGTGAGTTGACCGAGCCACAGAATACTATAAAATCCAGTCCCCTCATTACAGAGAGGGAGACATGGAGCCCAGGACCATGAAGTGACTTATTAATGAACAGTAGGGCCCTTGTACTGCTACAGAGGTGAGTACCCAGGAAGACCAGACAGCTGTGTCCTGATCTCCCTGGAGGGAGCTCTCCCAAGGCATTCCAGCCCATCCAACTTTGAAGACTCTGGATTCCTGGCTGGCTTGTATTCTAGGATTTCATGGAGAAGGTTGCATTTTAAAAACCAGCTAATTCTTTCTTTCTGCTACCAGAAAGAACTGTCTTAACAGATAGGAAAACTCAGAAATACAGTGTCTGTTCACCACTTTGGACCTTTAACAGCATCTGGGACCAGAGTCTGCCCCAGTCCAAGGAGAGTCCATCCTATCTCAGGCACCCAATCTCATCCTTGTCACCCAATGTCACTTATCCTTCTCATAGACGGTTACCCCCATACTACTCTGATTCTTTTCATAATCTTCCTTACATTAAAGACTTCCATTCACTGGCAAACATTTATCAAGCAACTAGATGTGCCCTCCTAGCCCAGCATCCTGTTGGATTTGGGGAATACCAAGATGGCATTTATTCACCCAAGGAGTTAACAGTCTGGGAAGAGGATGTAAACATAATTATTGTCGGGACCAGCAGATGGTGTAATGGCTATGTCGCTGGACTCCCATGTAGTCAACCACAGTTCGAATCCCGGACCCAGTGGTTTAAACTCACGTCGGGAGCGTGTGCATGCATGCGTGCCCAAGATCCCTAGAGAATGGAGGAGAAGGGATTGCAGCGTGGCCATTCTCCCTTGCTTTCTGTATCTCTGTCTCTATCTTTCTGGCTAGTGCACGCACTCTATAGCAAAAACTTCTCAAAAGAAAAATTAGTATTTTAAAGAGGGCTGGTGAAGTGCTAGTGGTAGAGTTAGGATGAAGCTGTTCCTTCCTATGCAGACCACCAAGGTTAAGATATTGCACACTTAGTCTTTACTATTTCTCTCACACTTAGTCTTTAGTATTTCTCTCACACTTAGTCTTTAGTATTTCTCTCACCTATTCGCTCTTTGCCATCCCTCTGCCTCTGCCTTGGTGCTAGCTTTCATCATCTCTTGACTGAGTCAGTGCGACCCCTGCCTATCTGCCTCCCTGCATCCATGCTTACTTTTGTCAATGTAACTTTTACTCTTCTACCAGAATGATTCTTTTCATTGAAATTAGCACATCAGCAACATAGCAGAAACTGAATAAATATTTGTTGAATAAATAATATTACTCCCATACTTAACACCATTCAGTAAATTTCTAATTCATACAGAAGTGCTTTCAAGAGTTTCTACAGATTTATTTCTAATGAAAAAGGAGATGAATATATACAAACCTCTTATGATATTATCCTATAACATGCATGAATCTGAGACATACAACTCAATACTATTTTACATTTATATAATGTGTCTATCACCCAGGGCAGATATGGGACATTTCATCAGCCTAGGAAGTGTTCCCATACCCCTGCTCAAGTCAGTCTTCCTGCCCAGAGGCAACCACCATGCAGTCTCTAGTCACTATTGATTCGGGGTCCTATTCTTGAACTTCCTTTCCCCAGTGGAATCACGCACAGTGGATACTGCTATCAACTTACATATCTTTATTTTGCATGGAGCCCTTTTCCTACAGCATTTCAGAGAGAACTATCCACTCCAAAACCTCAAGACATCCTGTGCTCATTTTCAGGGCCCCACACTCCATATTTTCTGCTTTCATCAAAACCTATTTCCTGGAGATAATAATTAGAAGGTGTCAGAAAAACAAAGTCTCATTAAAGGAAAGGAGGTATAGGCAATATACACTAAAATATATATCCTTATGATTAATATCTAAGAGTTTATATTTGCATGAACATATGCTTGTTGATTGATTAATCAAATAACGTCACCTTAATTCAAGGAAATAAATTTCTAATAGTGGCCCAATAGAACCAAAGACAAACTTAAAATAAAAATATTTGAACAAAAGAAAAACCTCAAGAATGAATGGAAGAAAAAGTAGTCTTAACTGAGGGTTTATTATGGTCTACACACAGTGCTAGGTATTAGGCCTTTGGAAATAAATACATCATACGTCATACTATAGCTTTAAATTGTTTCATCTTTCTAGAAAACAACTTGTCAATGTGTATCAAAACTTTATGAAAAGTTTATGTCTTTGTCCCAGCAGCTCTGTTTCTACAAATTTATCCTCAAGAAATATTTAAACACAAATAAAAGTGTATTGAAAAATACCCAACCACTAGACAATTATTGAATAAATTACAGTAAGTTCATATTATTGAATATTATAGAAACTTTAAAAACATATTTTAAGGAATACTTAATGACGAAATAAACACTCAAAAAATAAGATAGGTTTAAAAAGAGCAGGCTACAAAGCTATATCTCTAGGGTGATACAAATTATGTATTGTGTTACATACACAGGGTCTTCAAAAAGTTCATGGAAAATAAGTATTCTATAAAACTATGCATGGATTCCATTTCCATTATAAAATAAATTCTTAGGTTAATTCTATTTGTCTATGAAATTTTTGAAGTCTATATAATGTACTAATTGTGTGTACTGATACATACACACAAACATAACTCATTTACATGTCCCCATACTGTAACCAAAAGTGCAAATTTCAGGACATCCTTTGTCAATAATAACGCTTTGATATTTTCATATTTGTCAAATCGATAGGAAAAATATAACTTTAATTTAGTATTTTTGTTTGTATACATTATTTTGCAAATCTTTCATTCAATATTAATGAGAGTGTAGGCAGGAAAAGTACTCATTCTCTGATGGTGAGAGGGAAAATTGACCCAGCTACTTTAAGGGGACGATTTGATAGTATCTATTAAAATGTTATGTGAACAAACTTTGCACTAGCAATCCCATGTTTCTGGATCTGTCTTAGAGAAAAAATTTGCAACTTGCCTATGTGGCCAAAGACATATACATACACTGCAACATTGTCATTAAAAACCAAAAACATCTCTGTGCATATCTCTCAGGGAATGGCTAAATAAACTATGGTATATGCAAATATTGCATAGCAATGAAAATGAACAAAATAGCTTGAAAGACTGACATAGAAAGATTTTCAGTATATTTTTGAGTTAAGTACATAGAGAAAATAGTATGGTGAATATGATATTATTTTTGCAACAATATAACAAAAAGCAATATTATACATATTCCTATTTTAAGGAAATTGTACAAAATAACCTTGAAAAAAAACTGTAAGAATAACTTTAGAAAAATGGTACTCTTATATAGATCTATTATATCCCAACCAAAAATTATAATAAAAAAGAAGATATTCAACATATTGATAATATAGTTACATTTGGAAAAGACATTGCGTTTGATGGGGACATGGTCAAACAGAAACTGTAGCCATTTTATATTTTCAGGTTTTAAGAAAAAAATGTAAATTTCTAATTCATACAGAGGTGCTTGCAAGAGTTTAAGTGGGAATACTTAGAAATAAACATTAATTTCTAAAAATCAAATTGCTTTCTGAATGCATCAAGCTATGCTCTAAAGATTAGATTTTTTTAAAAAAGCAAGACCAAGCATTTTATATAATATAGTGAGCCCAGATGGCTAGGCAAATCTAATCTGTAACATAGTGAACATAGAAATCTTTATCTACATTTACAGTTAGTTGGATAAATTGCAGAATGATTTAGCCTTATTCTATTAACTTCATGAGAATGGAGAAGATGTCCCATATATTGAATCAGATTATTCAAGTGAAAAGTTTTCCTATCTGTTTACTTGAGCAACTTTTACCATTTAAACCATTTGAAATCCAGGAGATTCAGGGCCCGCCTGTTGGTGTCCGTTATAACGAACTTCATTGCATCAGAAATTCTACTTTCTGTCCCCTCTTAAAGAGGTAAAGACCCAGGAAAATTCTTAGAGTACCTTTCTAAAGAAGCTAGGTAGGTCATGAATAACTGAAATGCTATATTTTGGCTAATCTGACTATTTCTTTCCCTTCACTTTTATAATTATTAGTTATTGTTATTACAGATAATGGTATTCCTTATAAATATGATATTTTGAAATTTAATGAAGAAATTGGTCAGGATTTCTGACAGAATTTTGTTCTAAAAGGGTCATTCATTATTTCATATTTTGATGTTAAACAATCGTAATTCAGGGGGAAATGAAGGGCAAGGGTGGTATTTGGTAACAGTAAGTGACTTCAGTATATTCTGGAACTGGGAAAGGTTTTATGGTGAATTTTTAGTGAAGATAGCTTCCTTATTCTTCCTTCTTCACAAAATAAGTTTATTTATGCCATCTTACAGAAATCAATGAAACTTAGCTTGTCGTTTTCCTTTTAATATAGCTCATATAAATGTGTAATGTTATTACTTCCCAGGAAAGGCTTCACAGTGAGAAGTGTCTTCCTTACCATCTTTTTTCTGGCTGAAAATCTAAGAATGAGAAGGACCATTGCTGGGCTTTTTATCTTAATTTGCCTACTAGGTGGTAAGTCATTAGCAAAGTCTAAGTCAAAAAGAGAGAAAATCACTTAAGAAATGCAAAAATTATACTAGGACTATGTGAAGAGTGGCCTTAAATAAGGATATTTGAAAAATGCTGCTGAGGAAGCCCCCTTTGCTCGCTCCTTCTCAACCTATGCACTATATTAACTAAATAAATACGGACAGCATGGGTTAACCGTCTTCTGACTCTAAGCAGCTCTGCTTTGTTAACCTCTTGGTTTGACCTTTGGGAACTTCCACCAAGGCATTAATAAACATTCAATTAATAAGAAGAAGAACTTATATTTATTGGGTACTTAATTACAGTCCAGATTCTGTTCTAAACATGTCATTGTATTAATTCATTTAGTCTTCATTGGCTAAAAGTTAGGTACTGTTATTTCCCACCTTATAGATGAAATAATGAGTGAGTAGGTAGATAGCAGACTACATATTGCTATTATTATCACTAAGCTGAAACTAACCAAATTAGTCTGGGAGCCCTTAAAAATATGACAAAGTTTGTGCATTAATTAGAACAAAAGGAGCACAGGCAGGGGACTGCTAGCACTTTTTCTGCTCTAAATGCTCTTTTCTGTCCACTTCAAGGCTTTAGGAGTTTTCACTTTCTTTTATAAAAGTCTTTATTTTTTTTTTTAAGCTGCTTTTGCCATAGGGCTTGTGCGCTTGCTGGGGAGAGATTGAGAGAGTGAGGAGTCAACCCCCCCCGCCCCCCACAGGGAAGAGGGCTATTCTGCAATCCCTTCTCCATTCTCCTCCTGGGATCTTGGGCACGCACGCACACATGCCTGGCATGATTTCTAAGCCACCAAGTCTGGGACTCGAACCATGGTCTGCCATGTGGAAGTCCAGCAACATAACCTCTAGGCCATCTGCTGGCTCCGCTTTTACACCATTTTTAAGTTCCCTCAAACTAGATAAATGTTCCTAAAGTTAATGTCTCTAAATAGATATGTTCTAGCACTATAATGGGAATTCTGCTTCTCCGTGAAATGGTAAAATAGCAATTGCTATGGTTTGAGTGTCCTAACACATTTGTTTAAATTTAACACCTAATGTGGCAGTGCTGGGAGGTGGGGCCTAGTGGGCTTTCATAAAACAAACCAGCTACTGGTGTGTCTGTCTCTTTGCACGAACCCACTGGCTTTTTCACTTTTCTGCCTGGAGTAAAGCAGCACAGGGCCCTTCCCAGAACCGAGCAAATGCCAGCCCCATGCTTTGGATTTTTCTAGCTGACAGAATTGTGAGTCAAATAGACTTCTTTTCTTTATAAATGATCCAGTCTCAGGAGGTCTGTTATAGCAACCCAGATCACCTAAGATAGTAAGGGATGCAGTGGCTGTGCAGAAACCAGAAGTAACAGAGCAGACTCTGAAGATTGTAAGGGAAGGAGCAGAAGGAGATGGCTTCTGTAGCAGAGTTCTACAAATTTAATGTACATGAGTCACCCGGGAATCTTGTTAAAATGAAGAGAAGGTTGCCTGAGTCAGTAGATCTGGAGCAAGATCTGCATGCCCAGTGAGTTTCACAGTGATGCTGAAGCTGTTGGTCTACATCACACTAGTAGGAAGAACAAATGAGGCAACTCAGAGACGAACTCTGATACTGAAACTCAGCGATGTTTGGTTCCAAATGACAGTCACCAGTTCAACTGCAGAAAAGGGTCATCAAAAGTTTTAAGATAACCAAAAAGTAGGCAGCTCCAGGGACACAATATGCTTGCTAAAATCTAAGGTCCACATTCCAGCAGACCTTTTTTCCCACTGTCTCTACCACTTACGCAAGTTACTAAGGCCTTTGTGGGCCTTAAAAGGGGCAACCATAATACCTACCGGGAGGTATATTTCAGGAAATAATTGGACTAACACATGTAAATTGTTTAGCAGGGACCTCAGCTTAAGCTTACTTTTGAAAAAAAAATATTTGTTGATTGATCATTGATTATGGATTGAAAGTCTGTCATGCTCAGTGGAAAAACCAATAGGAGACTACCCGTCAGAGGTTAATTAGCCTCTTCAGCCAGATTGTTTTCTATTAAAAGTTACCTCTTCTAACTCCTAATATGACCAAGAGATATAAAACACTCTGGACAAATTGCTTGGTATATTTTTGGGGGTGATCGATAAATAGGAGTGACATGACAGTGGTGATCTTATAATGAAAGATGGGAACTAAAACAGATTTTGGCTCATTTATAGAAGAATCTTAACAATCTGAGCCAAGTTTAATTGTGCCAAGTCTCCCTGCAGGAGTAATTATAAAGGAGACTCTTCATTGGTAGACCTGATGATTCTCAAACTAGCACAGACATCTACAGCCAAATCCTATCCCTTCCACCATCTCTGCATATTGAAAATATGTATCCCCTGACTCAACCTCCTATAGATTCTAATTCAGGTCTTCTTCAGGGACTCTGGAAATCTGTGTTCATTTTACTTTAATGGCTTAAATAAATCTGCTACACAGTGAAATTTGGAAACCAATCTTATAGATAATATCTTGCAACTTTATGTTGACTCAGATCAAGAATCTCTAGGTTGGGCCAGTCTGTAGCATGCTGGATCCCACATGATGGCTGGCCATGGAGTTGGAGTCAGCAGAGAAACAAGCCAGGCATGTGTGCCCAAATCCTGAAAGGAGGGAAAGATGGAGGAGAAGAAATCATGGTGTGACCATACTCATGGGGGCGGCTTTCTCACTTGAGAGAGAGCAAATGCACCCTCTGGCAAAATTTTAAAAAGATAAAAAAAAAAAAAACCTCTGTGCTATCTCTGCATAACCAAAATGAATAACATTTTTGAGCCAGTAAATCTGAGTAGTGAAGATAATGAATATGTAAAGATTAACTGAGCAACAAATGTTCATAAAGAAGCCAATAATGTACCTGAGGAATTGACGTTAAGTTCTATCAGTGGATACATGGCTGAAATAAAGTTTTCTGGTGAAATAACCTTGGTTTGACTCTATTAGTCTTTCAGAACTGAATAAATTTTAAGCAACTGAATTTTTAGACCACCTGGCTCATTTCTGATTATTGTCAGTTCCTAGTGCTTCCGGTTCATAAATGTAGGTATATGCTTTGCAATCTCCCTCATTAAAACTCTGAAATTAATTTTAATTTATTTGAGTTTTAGTTAACTTTTAAAATATTGATTACTTTATTTAAAGATGAAAATCACTGCATTATTATTTTTTTTTTTACTTCTCTTTCTCTTTTTTTTTTCTCTCTCTCGTCTCCATCATTCCATTCCTTTCATGGTTTTGCCCCTCTGCTTGGAGATGTCGGAGGCATGATTTGTAGATTATGCAATCTCTCAATCCCCTTCCATGGGTGTGTTTTAGACTTTGGAACCTGCAAAACAAAACCTGGTCAGTCTTGTATAAAACGCGTCTTCAACAAAGGTAAGTTGTCACACACACAAACACACACACACACAGTTTAAAACAAGCACAGGGAAAAAAGTTTATAATAAAAATCATTTATTGACCATTTACTACATGCCAGATCCTATTCTAAGTGATTTACAAGGACTATATTACAACAACCAAACAGTGATATGAACTGGACATATCCTGTCATTACTCCCACTTTATTTTTAAATTTTTGCCAGAGGGTACATGTGCTCACCAGAGAGAGAGAGAGAGAGAGAGAGAGAGAACGAACAACCCCCACAGGGAATGGACTACTGTGTTAACAACAGTTCTTAGTGAGACAAAGTCCTGGAATTCCTATGATGCTGAAGGAAGAGAAGTTTCCTAGCTTGGAAATTTTGCCATTGCACACTGATGTAAAAAAAAAAAAAAAATAGAACTGGAACTTATAGTTTTCATAGTTTTATCATCAGGGTGTCCCAACTGTGACACCACTGATATTTTTGGCAGGTTAATTATTTGTTATATCAGCCTTTGTTGGTTGGTTGGTTTTTGCTATAGGGTGCATGTGCTCACCAGTGACAAAGAGATAGGTGATTGAGAAAAGGAGAAATCACCCTTCTCCCCAGGGAGGATGGCCATGCTGCAATCTCTTCTCCTCTAATCTCCTCTTGGGATTTGGGTATGTACACATATGCAGCTGGAATGTTTTACAAGCCACTGGTCCAGGACTCAAACTGCTCAGTCAGACAGGTGGAGTCCAGATGCCTTAACCCCCACAACACTTGCTGGCCCTAGGCAGTCTTTTTATCATAGGATATACAGCAGCATCTCTGGCTTCCACCTACTAGAGACCAAGAGTACCCTCAGGCCACACTCTGTCACTCCAACCCATTGTAACAAAGATGTTTCTGGGACTAGCAGTTAGCGTAATGATTATGTTGCTGGACTCCCACGTAGTTGATCACGGTTCGAGTCCCGGACCCAGTGGCTTTGGACTCCCGCCGGGGCCCTGTATGGCCA